ATCCATATATTCAAAGGCAAATTATTTAGTAACAAAGTGGTATAACGCGTCAAAGGTACTAATTGAGTACAATAGATAAAGTTTTGCGGGAAGGAAAGGATCCCATCCATGAAAATTTGTCAATTTTTTTGTTTAAAAAATTTAACAATTCGCTTCGTTTCTTTTCATCATCTAATAGTTGGAATCAAACTGCATGATACTTTCGTAAAGTTTTAATGGTCATCAAAAGACTAGTACTCATCCGTTTACCAATACAAGGAATAGAAGTATTCACAGATAATCTGCGAATCCGATTAATTTGATTATATTTGATTTGATTTGATTGAGAAGGCTAAGTTTTGGATGAGTCTGTAGTTGAATATTTCTCAATATGTAAATTCCCCGAATTCGAAACATATATTATAGGTATAATTTTTCTAAATTAAGTTCTATTTTTTAAAAATTTGTGTGTATATATATATATATAATATGTTTCTGATTATTCAATTCAGTGGCAAGCCCATATTCTTACTCATTTCTCAATCTACTTCATTTTATTTTATATTTATATGGATGTTTAATATACTTATTCTTAATTCGTGAATTTAATTCACAAAATCTGATAGATTTTAAATTAAATTAGATTAGAACAAGTTTTAGATTAGACACAGATTAAAATTTTTCTAATTTGATGATTTTGTATTGGATTGCGGATTAACTTCTAATCCGAAGATTCAAATTCGTGAATACCTCAGCAAGGAACATATTTTTCCTTTTTCTCTATCTATATATTTAATTCCCTTTTGGGTATCAATCTTATCATGCATTCATATAATAAGCACAAGACTTGAAGATTGCTCCCCTAATATTGGTATTTGGGCTACCAAGATTGTCATGCTTCCCAATGCGTTTCCATTGGCGTGTTGAACTCATATTTCTTTCTTTCTCTCTTTCTTTTTCTAAAGACTCGCCTTCCAAATTTGAGAAAGTGGGGACCAAAAGTTTGAATATTGGAGGAATCTAATCACCACAAGTTCCTTCGTTAGGTATGCATGTGTTTCTTCGAAATAATTGATGATTAAGGATTCTTACGACAAGAAAAATGTTATTTTTCTAAGTGCAATACGTTTCAAAAAAAAAAAAAATCTTGGACTTGGTGAATTTGACCTAGTTAATTACAGAATAAACAATATGGTTTGTACAAATAATTAGTACTACTCTTGAATAAAAAATGGTGGGTTTGACAATCTGTTGTTACTTTTCATCTTTTGGAAGAAACCTACTTTGCATCTCTTTTTTTTTTTTTTTTAAATGTACGATGAACTTAATTTCAACTGTTGGATAATGAAAAAATGATTTAAGCCGTAGAAGTTATTGCGACTAAAAACTTTTTTAACGTCTGAGATCATTTTTTAATCGATTGAAACACTAGTAGAAAAATAGAAATAGAATGATATATATCTTAAATTTTTATGATGTACTATAGTTTCACTCATTCTTTAAGGAGTTTCTCTAATAAGAACATAAAAAATGAATTACCGCTAGTATTCTACTTTTGAGCCGTTAGATCTGTATCAAAAACTGTTTATTTTGTATATTTTTTTAATCTGATGTGAGTTTGAGCGGATCCAATAATCAGAAACTAGCGCCATCGATAGAGAGACTTATGAGAGAAAGTCTCTTTTTATTTAATAGTAAATAACGTGATAAGTGACGTGAACATCTATATATTAGGATTTATTTTCTCCTATCATAAATGTTAAAAGTAAACATTGGAGATTCCTAAATCTTGTTGACTTTTGAATTTCTTTCTTTCTTTTTGTATCTAGCCTCAAAAATAGGAATAAGAAGTAATTACACGGCACAAATCCGACAGATTTGCAAACTTAAGCCTCCGGAGACTCGGCAAGTCCCTTGAAGTAAGCTTTGACATTATGGGATTAGCTTTTGAGTACCGACTTCAAAAGTTATTTACTAGTTTCCAAGTTCAAAGTTATGAGCAACACTACAAAAGCTCCTTTTTCTCACAACAACAATTAAAAAACCTCTAAAAAGGCTAATAATGCTTGTTTGGCCGGTATCGATATACATTTGCGAAATTATTTTTTTTTCTTTTTTTTTTTTTTTTGTTGGACCAATATCCTATTCGGTTAAGATGTTGGAGTACTACTGCCTTTTTTTCTTTCAATCCATTTTTATTATTTTTCTATCCTCAATTATTGACAAGCTTTCCCTAGTATGAAGACATTGACAATGGACATAATGCGGTTGATATTGAGCTTTTTGTGAGAAACAATGCTTGATTGAATGGCTACTTGGAAAATAATGCATATGTAGTGTTGGAGTGAAAATCAAAAAATTAAAATTCGTTCAAACAATAGAGAATTAAAAAAAAAATCGAAGTAAAGAATGGATTTATAATTCTAATTGTCCCTATTTACAGGGGAAGTGGTCCTTCAGAATAATTCCTTGAGTCTATTTTGATCATCAGTTAGCATTCCTCATATTCTTCAAAATCGCAACATTGAAGTTCGTTCATGCTCTTTGTTGATCATGGTGGCCACTGAGAGTGTACCTGCAAAAAACACCTTGACACTCAAGACAACCAAACAATAAAGAAAAAGGAGAAAAAAGAATAGTGGAGTTTAATAAGAAAGTAGGTAATATTGGATAATGCAATTATTATTGTCCATATTAATAGATAAAATGACTAGTCAGGATGATCCATTGTGTCTATTCTAATTGATAGACATCATATTTACAAATTTCCCAATCAAAATTAATAGAGAAACTTTCTTCATATTCCTTATGGAATATCAACATGTATCACGTTTTTATTAGTCGCTCTAGGTTGAGATATAGGTTCTCGACTCTCAAACTCTTATCGTATAATTTTGATCGCTTGACACTCGGGTCCCAATATCAATGTTTTCATTCTTTTTCTTTGGCAAACGTATGGATCCATGTTAGTAATTAGTAAAGCTGTTGGTAAGAGGGAATCACTTGGAAAATAATAAATGAGAAAATGATCAAGTGAAAGGCAAAGTAAAAGTGGTTGCAGGTATAATTTAGTAGTAAATTCACACATGATGCTGTCATAAATTATGTCATAAACTATAGGTTTCAAATCCCAAATTCAGAAGGAAAAAAAAAATGGAAGTAGATTTTATTTTCTGTTTTCAAGATTTAACTGGGAACATGGTTTTGAAATTAAAAAAACAATATTTGATGTGGATTTGTCATATGTTATATGAAACATATGTTACATTTTTTTTTTTTTTTGAAGAACGTATGTTACATTTAACATATACTAATAGTGCATATTAGTTTTGAACATTAGATCATTAAATTTTAATTACGTGAATTTGATGACATTTAATGAAAATTTGATAATCAACATTTGTAATAAATTAAGAGAAAGAAAAAGTGTGCCGCTTTCTCTCTCCCCTTCCAATCTCTTTTTTTGTGCGCTGCTCAAGTTTTGTAGGAGGGCAGGAGATGCAGCCCCACCTTTAGGCGGGCTGCAGGACGGCCCTAGTTTGAGGGTTGCACGGATCTCAAGTTGAGGGTTAAGGGTGAAGTTGTGGTGGGACTTGGGTTGCTTTCTATGGTGCTTAGAGGGGTTGCTGATGGGTTTCTAGCCGCTTTTTCTGGGTGGACCTGGTGCGATCTAGGGGTCTCCATTCCCTTGGTGTTGCGTTACCTTTGTTATGAGGTAGGTCTCGGTGAGTACTCGTGCCGGTGGTGCATGCGTCTTTCGGTCTGGTGCACTGGAGGTCTGTCAATGGCTTCTTTCTTTAACTGCAGTGCCACTCGTTTTGATCTCCTCCTATACAGAAGTAGTCTTGACATCAAAAGTGTAATTTTATTAAATACGTTTTTATTGCACTCTAATTATTAATGTGCCGAGCAGGTTTTTGTCATTAGGTTTCAGCACTCATGTTCGCCTCCACCCTTTATTCGTCTTTACTGATAGATCTAATCTTTATCTGCTCAAACATCCTTATATTTAATGGTCATTTGCGACTATATTAGAGTCTATATCAACTGCCATTTGGTATGTCATGACACACTATTATAGTACATTATGAAATGTACTATAACATATACAATATAATAGTTAATAAGACTGCCATTCGAACAATATTATATATATAGCCTTTTGGGGAACAAACTAACCAATATCATTGTTAGCATATTCTATGTTTGTGATTAATTCAAGTTAAATATATTGTCATATACAGTAACGTCAATAAAAAGTTGCACAGTAATCAAAGTGATAATTTATCAGTAGAAGTTATCAGTGTTGTATACATTGATCTCCCCTCAATGTTGAGGGTAAAAGAGAAGTGATATCTTATCATCTCTAAGTTAAAGAATTGGTCAAATCGACTCCATTAGAGACTTAAATACTTAATTATGTGGTCATAAATCTACTCGTCTCTCTCCCCTAATTCATCATTAGATGAATAATTCCGTATATCACCGTATCACAAATTCACACGCTAACCATGAGTAGATTATAATATTATACCAAAACTATGACATTTAACATTTTTTTATTCAAATAATAGAAATAAAAGTAATAAATTTGGCGGATGAAAAGCTGGTCATATATCTCCCAATCCCATTATTATAATTCCATTTCCATTACTCAAAACGGATGAACCCATTATTCTAATAGATCAATTCTGTTTATCATCATTATATTTAATCAATTATAAATTCACACGTCAATTATGAATAGACTACAATAACTTAACAAGACTTTAGTAGAAATGAATCAATAAATTCGGCGGATATGAAAAGTTGCACTTCTCCAACTTGAAGAAAACCGTGTTGAGAGAGAGAGAGAGAGAGAGAGAGAGGAAAACCAGGGATGGAAATCAATAAATGGGCATGATAAATGCATGCAATGCCTCCATATCTCCAAACTTTGGAGAAAGAAGCTTTTTGATGAATAATAGAAAAATATTGGCAACAATAACAACAACAACAAAGGCCTAGTTGCTAAGAAAAAAAAGAAAAATATTGGCAACAATAACAACAACAACAAAGGCCTAGTTGCTAAGTCTGCCTCCTGACTTCCTCTTTACTCAGGAAAGAGAAAGTAGTCACTGATTTTTTTGTCCAGAGTTTTCGTTTTTTCTATTACTACTACTCTCTGAAGATCTTAGCTGTTATCTCTTTTGGTCTCTAATGCCCATAATCCCTTGTCCCTATCCCCATATCATATATATCATTTCATATACCTAGAAAGCTCCTTTCTTTTTATTATGACCCATTTTTAGTAAACTTCTTCAAAGCGCAAATAAGAAAAGGAAAAAAAAAAAGAAAAGAAAAAATTGATCACTAGTTGAAAGAAAAAGAAGAGAAAAGAAATGAAGATCCGCTGTGATGTTTGTGACAGAGAAGAGGCTTCTGTGTTCTGCTCTGCCGATGAAGCTGCTCTCTGTGATGGCTGTGATCGACGTGTCCACCATGCCAACAAGCTCGCCAGCAAACACCCGAGATTTTCCCTTCTCCAACCTACTTTCAAGGAATCCCCTCTCTGTGATATCTGTCAGGTAATAATGCTTTCAATCTCGCATTTTGTTTGGTTAGTGAGAAAATGAATAGAATTCACAAATTCAATCTGGCTGTAGTATTAAGTATTGGTTCTCAGTCAAAACAATAAAATAAAATAAAATCTGGGTTTGATTCGTTTCGGTCCACCTCCTATCAATTTAATTTTTTTAGCCTGAGCCGGTAAAAAACTCGTTTAAAGTCGAACCTTCATAACAGTATAACGGAATTCTTCTAATGGTTAATGTATTGTGTATACATTAGACACAATTCCGAACGATCAGAATTGTTTTTGATATGATTTTGACGTGCTCTAACGATTTAAAAGTGTATCACGGAACTCTTTTATATACATTAGACACAGTTTTGATTATTTTTTTTAATCTGATATGATTTTGATATGTTCTGACAGTTAAAAACTGTATCACGGAATTCTCTTAATTGCGAACATATGGCTTCTGTTTTGACAGGAAAGAAGATCATTTCTATTCTGTCAAGAGGACAGAGCAATCCTTTGCAGAGAATGTGACATTTCAATCCACAGAGCCAATGAACACACACAGAAACACAACAGGTTTCTTCTCACAGGAGTGAAGCTCTCAGCTTCTTCAAGTTTGTATAATAATCAAACCTCATCCACTTCTACTACCAGCACTGATTTAAGAATTCAACCATCATCAACAGCAACAACAAAGAGATCAAGAACCGTTTCTAATGAGATTTCGGGTTCGGCTTCAGTCGAGATCAATCCAGTGCCATCAAATACTGACAATGCTTCATATTCAACCAGCAGTATATCTGAGTATTTGATGGAAACACTGCCTGGATGGCATGTGGAAGACTTCCTTGATCCTTCATTTGCCTCCAATGGTTTCTGTAAGGTTTGCAGTACTCATTTTACACTTTTGACAAAACAAGAGAGATTTTTCATTTCTTTTTTTTTTTTTTTTTTTTTCTTTTGGACTATTTCTGTTTGACCCCACTCGTGTTTCATAACATTAAAAGTTTTTAGAATGCTAAAAGAAAAATTGGTGTTGACAAATTTAACAATTTCACATGTTGCATTAAAACATGGTCACTAGAGATAAGAGATCTTTAAAAAAATATATAATCAATTACTTCTTTCATTGTTACTTATAGGATGACAAATGTTTTGCTTTAGTCAGATTCTGAAATTAAGAGCAGTTAAAAAGTTCGAACTTCTAAGTTAGTTTGTTACGCTAAGCTGTTTGTTTGCCATAACAAGGGCAAAATAGTAATTTAAGAAAAATATTTCTCATCAGGAAGATTTCAGTAATTTTATTTATGTTTGAGAACTAAATTCCGTGATAGTTTAGGACCAACCAAAAGATTAATCTAAGTTTTTATTTTATTTTATTCTTTAATGTTCATCAAAAGACCTATTATTGATGGAAACATAATGGGATTTGATGCAGACTAACAGCCATTCTGTGTCGTTTGTGGACGATGATTTTGAAAGCAATAAAAGCTCTCTTTCATCAGAAGAATTGGTCAATTGGGTGCCTCAATTGTCACCACCGCAAATCACAACTATGAATCATCACAATAATGGAGTTCTTAGTGCAGCGAAGTACAACGCAGGAAAGACTGATCATGATATGATGTTTAACCAAACATGGGATGATATCTTTTGCAAAGTTCCTCAAATCAGCCCTCCATCTTTCAAGAGACATAAGGCGCTTTCATTGGGAATAATAATGTTTGAAAATTTTCTTTAATCTGTTAAATGAGCAACCTCTTTTTTTTTTCCCCCTCTCTTCTTTTTGTTTTACATCGATTCTGTCGTTTCAGAGGGGTTTTTTTTCTTTTTTTTTTTTTTTTTTTTTTTACCTTCAACAATCTACTTTGGAGTGGGAAGGAGCTCGCTTTTTCTCTTCAACCTGTTTTTTTTGTACCTTCAACAATCTACTTTGGAGTGGGAAGGAGCTCGCTTTTTCTCTTCAACCTGTTTCTATAAATCGCTGTAAACATATCATAATTATTTACCAAATCGGTGGTTTTTTTTTTTCTCCTAGTACATTTTGTTTGAGTTTAACCTTTTTTTTCTTTTTTCAAGTAATGATAAATTTAGAAAGGGCTGATCCGCGTTAGCAGACTCTTGGTGTTGTCAAAGAGTCTCGATCACTTAACACTCAAAAGTCAAATCTCAAACACTATTATAGTACATTATTAGGCACCCCACTCGATAATTCAAGTTTACTTGATTAACCAATAAAGAGGCAACCTAATTTTACAGTGTTTGAAATGGTTGAAGATACGTATATTTATTAATGAAAACAGACGCCCGAAGCCCGAATTTTTTCGGGCTCGGGCGGGCAAGCCCATCTCCCGCCCGCTCAAGTTAGATTTTCAGGCTCGGACAGCCCGAATTTGACACTGATTCTCTTGCCCGTCGCCGTCTAACCGCCATATTGTAATGACTGAGAAAATTTCAGACCTTAAATAATACAATTCATGTATTTTTAAGCCAAGGATTTTCTTAGAAAATATTATGTTATATTGTGAATGGAGGATTTATGGAATTAATATATGTATTCCTAAATTCTATAGCAAATTTCATGTTAAGTTCATGTTTCGATCAAGTAAATTCGATCGATAAATTCTTACCGTATTTTAAGGCAGAATAATTTTCAGTACAAGTATAGTTTGAGAATCTTAATTTCAAGAATCTCTAAGCACAGCACGATGTTAGCGGCATATAAAAAAAAAACGCACTGACATTTTAAAAGAAGAAAAAAATCCTTAATTGCCAAACAGTTAGGTTAAAGTCACAAGATAAATACCTATAGTAGATGGATACAATATGAGCTCGGGAGTTGACACTGTCAGAAACGTCATTCTCGGGATAGAATACAGAAAATTAAAATTTAGAATTTATTCAGTCTAAAATTAATTTCAAGACTTGAAACAGTTCGAAATATTAAGCGAGTAAGAATATAAAACAATATTGAATTATTCAGAAATTAATATTGGACTGTAAGTAGTAGATTAACTTACGTGAGCTAAACTAATTACCTCTAATCAGTATAAATTTAATCTGTTTAGAAGAAATAATTGAGGATAAGATCAGGCACGTAATCTTACCTTAATCAGATACTTTATATAGTGAAATTTTAGGGTTCTTGCACTTTCTTTCTCTTATTCTCGCTCATTCTCTCTCTCCTCTCACGTTCTCTCTCACACAAACCATCAATGGCCAAATACTCAAGTTAAGATTCCGACCTCCATTTTTGACACCACCGGTGTCAATAGAAAGATCTCGACGAGCTGAGTTCAACGACATGCGGCACGACCTCCAACCCCGCCGGAATCAGCCGCAATCGCCGGCGGAAGTTTCGAAATTTCCATTTCTTCCCGTCGTGATATCTCCGCCATCCGACCTCCGATTGAGATGATTTCAGTCCCTATGGACTCAGTGCAGCGAGACGAAGAAAACCCATCCATTTTCACAGCTCGATTCTGGCTGGAGCACCGCCGTCCGTGGTGGTCGGAATCGCCGCCGCCGCCACCGTCGTTTCTCTCTCTCCAGGCCGTCGTGGATGTCACCGCCCCCACCAATCAACTCAGAAGCCGACGTCCAGTAGATCCCGACCAGCAGCCACCGTCGCCGT